GGTGAGCGTGGCGCGGGCCGGGCCGGGCTTGGCTGGTCGCCGTTGAAGCTGAGCGGCGCGGCGGCTGGAGGCGGGCAGGCGTCCCGGGGCGCGGGGTTGGGGAGACCGAGGGGTTCCTCTGGGCGCGCCGAGGCCGGGACGACCCGTGTCTCCCGTGGGAGAGCCAGTCTGGCGGGTCTGGACCCGCAACTAAGCTGCCTCCCCCTACCCGCGCCCTTCCCAAACCCCAGCCTTACTCCTCCCTCTCCCGAAGCCACCCCCTTCCTCCAGCCTCCCCCGCGCGCCCCTCGCCCCAGCCCCCGCCCCCTCTCCGAGCCCAGCGCCCCCTAACCCTGCCTGCGATTCCGCCGCCCTCTCCCCGAGCTCTCGCCCCCTGCCTCCCTGCTGGCGCCTCGCCCACCCACCGCCTCCCGCTCCTCCCGGTCCAGTCCCGCGCCCTCTTGCCTTGCCAGCCTCCACCCGAATCCCCGCCCCTCCAACCCTCTCCCGCTCGGCCCCCGCACTCCCGCCGCGGGATTCTAGCCCGAACTCGAGCCCCCCGGGTCCCCCTTCCCGGGCACCCCATTCCCGGGCAGTGCCCAGCCCGCTCGCCTCCAGATGAGAAGGCGGCGGCGACTTCTCCGTGGCCTTTCTGGGGGCGGCTCTTCGTGGCTGCTCCCTGCGCCCCGCGGCCTGCGGGGGGCCTGGGGGGCCCCCGGGAGGAGGCCCCTCGGGGGGGGGGCGGGGGGAGCCGGGGAGCTCAGGTTAGGAGGGGCCGACCCCACGGCGCTGCTTTTGCTGCTCCACTCGAATATGTCTCGATCTTTTAAAGAAGCCGGGTTTTGTCTCCCACACACAGAACTGCATCTGCTTAGCGCAGGTTGCTCTCTTTGTGGCCGCAGCGGTCTTCCAAGTTGTACCTGTGGGTGGTTAAAGGATTAAGGATGGAAGGGGATTGGGAGCCATATTTCCCCGCTTTGGCTGGGCGTTTGGTAGCAAAAGAGTGAGGCTATCCCGCCTGCGTGTCCAGTGCCTTCGTAGGGAAGCAAGGATGCTGTGTACGCATTCCAAAAGTAAGACCAGGAGAGACGTGGCCTCGGATCGGTGCGAAGGGGGAGGGAAGTGTGGTGAATGGCCCAGGGGGCCTCAGAGGGCTTCTCGTCGTCGTCGTCTGGGGACAGTTTTGCAGAATGCCCTCGGATGCCCCCCGGTCTGCGGAGCTGATAGTGCCCAACCCAGCCTGACAAACTTGACGTGCGTGACCGCAGACGGGGCTTGGCTACAACTCCTCCCCCTCAGAGGTGTTGGTGCCCAGCCTGGACTTCTGCGGGAAGAGTTTAAAACAGATGGTTTGACAAGCCTCGTGTTCCCTGGAGAGAGGTGCAGATGCATGGTTGCAGCCTGAAAGACAGTGCCCGAATCTCTGCCCTCCCTTCTCCTGGCTTTCATTAGGTCTCGGGCTGAATTAATTGCCTATTGCAGAGAAATGACCTGTAGGGGGTACATCTCTTTTAGGGGTTGGCTCCTGGCCAGCCCACCCTCACTGATGCGTGGGAGGCTGCCTTTGGGCACCAGGGACAGGCTGGCCCACCTGCCTCTGGTGCACCGCACGCTAAGCATTTGTGAAACTGCAGAATCAGCGACTATTTTTTATTTTTATTGATTGGCTTGAATAGTAATTAGCTCAGTACCCATTCACCCCTGCGTAGTGAATGAATAGAGTAATTAGCTCCAGATCACAATGGGACACAGAAGACTCCCTCTGAGTGTCCACAAATTCCGGTGGGCATCTCCTCAGCCCTCACCACGCCCCTCTGTGATAAGGTGTTGACTCTTGAGTGCCCCACTGGCCAGAGACGGGGTGAAACTATCTCTGTGGCCCCTGCACCCAGCCCCTGGCACCCTCTAAGTGCTGGTACTCTGTGTTTGTCTAGAAAAATGGGTCAGCCTCTTAAATCCAGTCTGAGTCCATAACCCATGTTTTTCCATTGTGCTGCACTATTTTCAAAATGTTATCCTTAAATTAATCAAACACACACACACACACACACACACACACACACACTTGTCTTACTAGAGACAAACTTATTTCTGTGTGTATTTGGGGCAGAGAACTCAATGGGTCTCTACCCTCAATGGGGACTCCAGCATTTCCAGGAAGGAAATTAGTTGTCCTTATCACAGAACTGAGCCCGTTGGGGAGCTAAGGCTGATTGCTGAGAGGTGAGTCCTCCCAGCTTAACCAACAGGGCCTTGAGCTGTGGCCACAGCCCCCTTCTGCATCCCTCATCCCTGCCCGTGATGGAGGAAGCACTTGGGGACATGGTGTGCTTGTGGAGCCTGCTGGCTTCTTCTGATCGCACCATCTTCACTCCAGTGGGCACTGCCCACCCCAAAATAACGGGCCGCCCCAGGCAGAGCCTGGAGTGCCTCTTCTTGCAGGGGCCTGGCAGTATGGTTTGCAGCTCCGTTGCGGGAGGAGGCAGGCGGTTTGCATGGTGTTTCTGTCAGAGGTGACTGTGACCACTGGCAGATGGAGCCAATGCAGCGCTTCTGCCCTGTCCAAGGTCAGCTCTAGAGAATACAGCCAGAGGTGGTGGTGGTGGTGGGGGGAGCCCCCAGCGCCCCCTTTTTCAGAGGTCCAGGAAGAGCTGGAATTCAGAACAGTCACTTGAATGCGGGAACCTGCACTGCCCCACAGGCTCACGCTATGGAGGGCTTATCTTTCTTACCCAGACGGTCTCTGTCTCCAGGTCTGGCTCTTACCCAGGATTCCTGAAGCTGGTGAAAAGCTGTTTTCTAGAAGAGGTTTAATTAATGCCTGTAGCTGTGGGTGAGAGAGGGAGGGAGAGAGGGAGGGAGGCAGACTGACTCTGCTATCTGGAGGTGGGCAGGCATGAGGTTCTACACACTCAGAGGGGAAGACTACAACCCTGGAACAAGGATCTTGGTTGGTGGATTAGGACCGCGTCCACATTCCGGTATAGGGGTTACCATTAGGAGCAAAGTCACGGAGGGGGAAAATGGCCCTGCAGTAACGTGAAATAAGGTTTGCTGGGCCCACCATCCTGGTTTCTAGAAGCTTTGAAAGGCCAGCCGAGAGTTGAGCTTACCAAGGTGGGAGAGCACTGAGCCATTTAAAGTTTTTGAATGAGGGTTGTGGCCTCTTTGGAAGTGATGGCTTGTGCAACATTGGTCTGGGGGGAACCACCTTACACCTAAGATGCTGAAGGGAGATTGGCAAGGGGAGAAGCAGCCAGTAGGGTTTGTGCATCTGCAGTTAGTGGGTGAAGAAGAGGCACCAGCTGCCTTCTGCTAGGGTTGTGGCATTTTCACAGAAGTCATCTCCCACGGCCCCTTCTTGAATCTGATGGGCAGTTTTGTAGATGGACTGTGGCCTCGAGGTACTGCAAAGCAGCCAAAAGGAAGCACCTGCGAAGCAGGAATGGAATTGCAGGGTCTGCTCTGAGTCTAAAAGGTAGGTGGGCCAAGGTAGCCTAATTGAGCCACGGACTCTGGCCTGCTAGCCACCACCCCCAGAACCAGCAAGCTGCTCTGAATGCTCGGGCCTTCAATGGGGCAGCCACTGGCTTTTGGAAAGGAACAGGCCAGTCAGCTTTATGCCAGAGCATGGAGGAAGTTAAGGATTGAAAAGGCACTGAGAGCCCCACCGGTGTGCTCAGTGGTTAGAGCTCCAGCCAGGTGGGAGGCAACCAGTCGATGTGTGCGTGTCCCTCTCCCACTCCCTCCCTTCTACTCTGTCTGAAGAGCAATGGAGAAAATATCCAACCAAGGCACTGAGAAAAGAACTTGGAGGGGCCTTGTGAAGTAGTTCTGCAGCCGGAAGGCCACCTGCACCCGTATCGTCCTGGCTAGGTCATCTGTGCATCCCTCTGTCCTTCCCCCTTCCCTTCCTCCCTCTCCCCCAGCCCTGTCCATCTGCACTTAACACATCAGCGGAGCCGTCTCTATGCTGACGCTCGGGGTAGGGGAGAGTTTGGGCAACTCTAACACCTAGTGGTAGCAACAGTAGGAACTTGAAAATTCTGTTTGTTTGCACAGTCACTTCCCCAACTTAGACATTCATGTTTTTGTAATATTAGGCATCCCTTTGTCATCTGCTTACCACTCTCTGCCTCCATGCATAACTGACTTCCTTAGAGAGAGCTATAATTAATAGCTTAGAAACCAGAACTTTAAAAAACAGACCTAGTTGAAAATTATTGCACCTAGTTTTGACACCCCCATCCCTCCCCTCTTCTACACTCCTTTATGTGGTTAGAGGTATCATTCATATCAAATTTATGAATAGTTTGAATAGG